TGAACTGCTGAAGTGTCGACCATTTCTGTTTCAAGTGGAAGGGAAATACATGGTTGATTCTTCTTCCATGTATTAAAAATCAATCAAAACATATCTAATAAAAATATCTAATTGCATGTCCATTTTCTCCTTAAATATAGGAATCTGTGGTTCGTGTTAACCACCATTTGTTTGAAAATCAGGATATCAAGTTAGTTACTGATTTACGAGCTGGAAACCCCAATTCTGGCTTCCCAAGTCAGACAAAACTAAAAATGTTTTTTTTGCAAACTGCAAAGGAAAGGAGGGAGAAGTGAGCAAGACTGTGGACCTTGTGCCTGCTTATTCTTATAAATTAGGCTGTTGCCTTCACAATCATCCAGTTAGTCTCCAGAATGTAGTTGCTGCATTCACACGTAGTGTATCCGTCAGTCCAATTCTTTTGTTTCTTTATTTCTTCAGAGTAGTAAAAGCACTTACCTATAATGGCTGGATGATTATTATGTCCAATGAACGAACCCAAGTATGTTCCTTATGGACCCAGGTACGGCCTAAAAAAGTAACTAAGAATTCTGTATCTTCTTAAGCATGGATAGGCAACCATTTGGATGCTGGCAGGCATGTTTGGAATATGAAAGCATGTAATGGGTATGGTCGTGAAAGGGCTGTCATCGGAGGATACCGGCTATGAAACACCCATTTACCTAAAGACAAACTGGTCGTGGTGCTCTGCATTACATTATGCAACACACCCACACACAACCCCAAATCCCCACCTGCCTGTTCATTCGTTTTACAGGACATGCACCCAAACAGCCAGCTGCAGCTTTCCACAGATTTTATGTTCAAAGAATGGGACATATCTGAGTACAGAGGCAGATCTAGAAGCTGGGACTTTGCAGCATGTCAGTGTTCCTTTTTTAATTCATCGAATGAAGCTTGAAACAGAGTCAGAACCAGATGTAGCAGGAAATGTGGCAGGAACAGAGGGAGATATCTGCAGCCATGTTGAAATTAATGGGCATTACATTGCCAGCTCCTGTTTAGGGTAAATGACTTCACCAGATAGAAAGAATATTGTGGGAGAAGGGAGAGGGAGAGAAAGAGAGTTCCAGTATTCAAAGCAAGACTTCCCTCAGCTATAGATCTTGACACTATGATCTTTAACATGAGGTCCCTAAAGTATGTGGTTGGTAAAAAAAAGCTGGAGTCTGACATTACGAAAGAAAA